GGAGGGATCGTGCTCAGGCATCTCTCGGGGTGCGGGTGTACGCGGGGTTGGGGCCGGGCTGAGCGGGATGGGGGGTGTTGGGGGGCTGCGGCTCGGTGCTGGCCCGCGGGCACGTGGAGGTGGCGGGAGAGGCCTGCGTCGGCGGGCCCAGCCCGGGTATCTGAGGGAGGGGATTATATTTCCGGTTATATTTCGGTGCGGGGATCCTCGAGACTCTGGTCTGAGGGAGTTGGGGAAGGAGCGAGTGCCCCCATCGTTGGTGAGGTGGGAGCGGGAGGAGGAAGCTTCAACCCCGTTGGGCGTTTTAGGGTTGGGCTTGATTGAATGATGGAGCCTTGGACCGTTTGGAGAGGTACTGTGCCTCTTTAAGTTGAATAACAGGGGAAGCCATGGCCCCATGGGGCAGGCAGGGGAGCATATACTGGCCCTGCAAGACCCTGGTCGTGCTGACTGAGCTGCCGTTGTAGCTGTGCCTCCAAAGACAGAGGCAAAGGCTAAGGCGCTGAAGGCCAAGAAGGCCGTCCTGAAGGGGGTCCACAGTCACAAGAAGAAGAAGATCCGCACATCGCCCACCTTCCGCAGGCCCAAGACCCTGCGACTGCGGCGGCAGCCCAAGTACCCCCGGAAGAGCGCCCCACGGAGAAACAAGTATGTTGGGCTTGTGGGGTGGGAGTAGCCCCATGTGTGGGTTGGTGTGGGGACCCGTGTCCTGCTGCAGGTCCTGGGGTGACACCTTGCCAGTGTGCTGCCCTGAGAACTCAGCCCACACCCTGGTGACAGAGTGGTGTAAGGGGTGGGGGGTGTTTGGGGTGCAGGTGATGATTTCAAGCGACCAAAGCCTGAGAGTTTGTGATTAGAACTTTTTTGGCAACTGATGCACCTCAAAGAAAGCCTCTGAAGTGCAGAGGCTGTCTCAGCCAGCCTTCTGTTAACCACAGGGTCTTTCTCCTGCAGGCTGGACCATTATGCCATTATCAAGTTCCCTTTGACCACAGAGTCGGCAATGAAGAAGATAGAGGATAACAATACTCTGGTTTTCATCGTCGATGTCAAGGCAAACAAGCACCAGATCAAACAGGCTGTCAAGAAGCTGTATGATATCGATGTAGCCAAGGTCAACACATTGATTAGGTGAGAAGGTGGGGAGATGTGAGATGCTTCAAGAGCCCAGAGTGACTTCTAGCAGAAAGTGGGAACAGGTGTGAGTTTCAGCAGTTATGGGATTAAGCTCAGTAGTGTTTTCAGTGTTGTAAGTTTTGAGAATGCAACTTGTGACTTAGCATCTCTCAGTGGAAGTGGGCAGTGTTGGCAGACAGGAAGGTCAGCTTCATCAGGGAGCTCTCTAACACCCAGGGAGTCTTGTGCAAATGATGTGAACGTTTGTTACCACTGAGTAAAGTGATGCTTCCAAAGGAACCACTGATGCACACAGCTCTAGCAGGAATGTGGAGCAGGTGGGAGGAATTGCGTGCCTCTGCACTCATGCCTTTTGTTCCTCTCTAGGCCTGATGGGGAGAAGAAGGCTTATGTCCGACTGGCTCCGGATTACGATGCGCTGGATGTAGCCAACAAGGTGAGAAATCTTTGAAACTTTGCAGCTTCTGTTGCCTTGTATCTCCTGTGCCCCATTGTTCTGGCATACAGGCGAGGTACTTGTGCTTCAAGCACAGTGGCACTTCTGTGGAGTGTCCCTGTAGTTAGATGGGATCCATGTGTTCAGAAGCAAGACCATGTTGTTCAGCAAAGTGCAATTCTGCCTGGAAGTTCCTGTGACTAGGTGGGAAAAATTACTGAGTGAGAATTGCTGCTCCTTCAACTCCTTCAGGGAGGGGCTCCACAAGCTCCATAATATTAGTGGGGAGGATGCAGAAACTGCCCTGCAGCTTCTGGATGAAAACAGCCTTTGTCCTAACAGCATTCTTGGCCAGCCCTTTGGCAGCTCTTTTAAACAGGGGAAATGATGGCAGGGGCACCACTGTGCTGCTGGCCTGGGTGGAAGAGGAGTTCTGCTGTCCAGGTGTTGCTGGAAGTGGCAGACAGTTTAGTCCTCAAAGTGGTTGAGGTAGGCAGGAGGCAGTGGTGGTACCAATTGGGAGTAAGGGAATGTGAAATAAACCTAAAAGCGGTTGTGTAAGACACTTGGGCAGGTCTGTGAGGAAGAAACATGTCCTTGGAGGACAGGAATCCTGGGGAGATGCAGCCATGGCAGTGATGTCTGTGGTAGAGGCTCTGCTTTTCTGCCACCGTAACATCTGTTTTAACATGCTTTGCTTCTTTCCAGATTGGAATCATCTAAACTGCATCTACCAAGGACTGTACAGACAGGATAATAAACCCTGTGACACCACTGAGGAGCTCTTGTGTTTTGTGACAGTGTAGCCTGTGTGAAAGAGAGCACTCAGCAAACTTTTGGGGCTTCATTTCAGTAAAGGGGGTTCCTCCTTCCTGTCCTGCTGATGGGGTTTCCTGGATCACTGACCTCTGCTGTGGTAAACATGAGGTGACACCCCCAAATCCCAAGTACCTGTATTTACCTGAAACCTCTGGTATTCTGCACTCAGTTGTCCTGTGTAATTAGCATGTGTTTGTGATCAGTGTTCTCGGTGTCCTACATAGCTTCCTGTGGAGCTGACGAGCGCCCAGGAGGTAGGTAGTAACCACAGAAAAAACATGTTCATGGTTCAGATCTGCACAAGCAGAGCGTTGCACCATGTTGAGTGTATCAGCTGTTTGCTTGTGCTGCAAGCTTCACTTGACAGAGTCCTCAAGTTAATGCCATCGCAGGAGCTTTGTGGGTTTTTTTCCCTGATGTGATCCCAGCTCCCTGTGCTGCAGCATGTGAATCGCAGCCAGGTTTCCCTCACACCGTTCCTGTTATGTTGCCTGTAACCTCATGGGGTTCATGGCCCTCATCAGGGCTGTTTCCAAACTGCTGTTGCTGCCTCAGCAGTCTTTTGTTTCCTCAAATTTGTAGATGAAACTGGCTTTCCAGAGCACTTGGAAAGTCACAAGAAAGTGGAGCGCTGGGTGAGCAGGCAATGGAGGTGAAGTACTGATAAGCCTTTCGGTGTACTTGGTCTTAAGTATGTGGTTAGACTTGAGTGAGAAAGGTGATGAAAGCCAGAAACAAATATTGATTGTGGGGTAATTGTGCTCTTGAGCAGTGGGACATGGAGTTCGTTCCAGGCTCTTGCAGAGGAGTGGTGGTTTGCCCACATGGGAAGGGTGGGGGTGGATGGAAAGGGGGGAGCTGTCCCAATTGCTGCTTTTGGGACCTCGGAGTAAAGATTGATGCTGGGCTCTGTGGCCTTTGGCTTGAGGCTCTTCACTGGGTGCTCCTGGTGCTGGGGGAGTGCAGCCAGATCTGCAGGTACCCACATGGAGGCATGGGGACTGGCTGTGGGGTGGCTGTATCACAGAGCCTGTGTGCTCGCCTTCATGCAGGCAGACTTTGGCTGCTCTCAGCCTGCTTCTGAAAGCCTGGCCTGGAAGTGGGGGCTGCCTGGAATCACATCCCCCCCACATGCACACTTCTCTCTGGGCCTTGTGGGGTGCTCAGCTGGGCTGGGAAACCACCTGGACAAACTGCTGGTCCCCCCTGAGCTATGGGTGCTGTGCAGAGCTCTGCTGGCACCTTGGGCACAGGCCAGAGCCCAGGCTCTTGCCCCTCACCCTCCCCAAGCCTGACTCAGGGGCTCAAAACTTGGACATCAAGGCCTGTTGGCAGGCTGTGTGGGGTGAGGTGAGGCTGAACATCAGGCAACCTCCCCTGCCTGTGACACAGCCCTGCGGCTGGCAGTGTGGTGGTGTGAGGACCTGAGACAGCCCTGCTGATGTTCTGCTGGCCCTGTGGGGTGGAGGGCACCAACCCAACCTCTTGTCTGTGGCCTGGGTGCAGCCTCGGGAGGGAACAAGCAGGGTTTTGCCTGAATCCTGTGCCTCCTTAGCTGTTGTCACCCCAAGTAAGGGGAAGAAGGGCCCCTCTTGTGGCAAAGGCAGTATCGCTGCTGGGGTGAGGAGAGGGTATGTGCTGCGGCAGGGAGGCTGGGGAGGGATTTCACATCAGCATGACTTGCAGTCTGCCCTGACCCTGCCTCAACTTGGCCCAGCGGCTGCTGCTGTCTGGCACTTCGATTCCCTGCGCTTGCCTCTTGCTCTGGGCTGGCAGCCGGCCTGACCCACAGCTGGCCCAGCCTGGCCAGCACTGTGCTGCTGGGAGATGCTCTGGCTGGAAGCCAGGAGGGGAATGAGGGCGAGTCAGGCTACCTGCTTGGGGAAGCTTTGTCATGCATGATTCCTCCATGCTGCTGTAAGGGCAGTGGCAGCCTGGGCTGATCCCTCTGAGCCTGTGTGCTGCTGGAGCAGAGCTGTGTCTGCTCTGTGCTGAGACAAGGGGAAAGGTCCAGCTATCAGGGTGAGGGGAAACTAAGATTTCGCCTTGACTGTTTGGGGTATTTGCAGAGAAGAGTCAGTGCACAGAGGCTGCGGAGCTTAAGCTGCAGCTGGGAAGATGCGTAGCTGTTGGGATGTGCTGCTGAGGGTAGGGCTGTGCCCTGCCAGGGCTCCCTGGAGCTTGGCGCCAGGCTGCTGAGCTCTGCTTGGAGCGAGGAAGGGGTGAGGCAGAGGGTTTGAAGCTGGTGTAGATCCCTGCCCATGCAGTGTCCCGAGTATCCCGTCTGCGCTGGCTGCCACGCTGTTCCCGGCACGTGCCTCCTGCGCCCACCACAGTGTCGGTGCATGAAGGATGGGGATCCCTCATGCTTCCTTATTTTGCTGGCTTATTTCAGCTGCAGCACCTGTCTCTGCCTGAGCTGGGCTGGCCGTGGTGTTGGTAGGACAGATCCTGCCCTGGAGCAGGGGCTGGGCAGGAGTCCCTCTAAGCCCCACTGCTTTATGCCAGTGCGGTGTGATCCCGGAGCTGTCACGTCAGCAGGATTTGCCTTCCCAATGCTCTGGTGCACCACACGACCGGCTGGGCCAGTTCTGGCCCCGCTCCCCCAGGGAGCTGAACCCCTCTCTTCCCTCCCACCACTCTAGGGTGGCTGATGGAGGCAGCCTGGTCCTGCTGCTGCTGCGGGAGAGGGCCCCGCAGGCTCGCAGGAGGCCAGAGCTGTGCTGTGCTGGTGAAGATCACTCCAGGGGGATGCAAGCATGCAGCAGTCTTCCAGGAAGAGCCTGTGGCCTCACACAGTTTTCCCATGCCAGCTCCACTTCACGTGGCTGCTGGGTGAGTCATGCAGCCCAGCCAAGCTCCTTGCTGCCAGGCAGGTCAGGGACTGCAGCAGGGCTGGGTACCTCTCCTGGCTTTCTTCCCCTGCTCCCTGCCTCCCTGGGTCTCTAGAAGAGCAGATGAGTGAGGAAGAGAGATGGGGTCTTGCTATTTAAGGCTCAGCACGGTGCAGTTGGGCTGGTAGGATGCAGCAGGCTTAAGTGCATCCCTGGAGGGTCCCTAGAACAAAGCGAGCAGCAGAAATGTGCCCTCTTCCTCCCCAGGGACTGCCAGCCCTCCGCTGGGAATGGGGACACATCCTTTCCCATGGCCCTGTGTGTCATTCTCCCCCCCCGCCATCCTCCCCTCAACACTGCTGTGCCCCACAGAAAAGCCAGCTCAGGCGTGCTGCGGCAGCAGTAAACAGACCAATTTTAATGCACATAACACCCAGCATCACCACGGGAGGGACTCGTCCCTTCCCTTGCAACCCTCTCAGGCCATCAGCTGCAAAACGCAGCCACCCCTGGCCCTCCAGCTGCCTGCGTGGAAGCTGGCTTGGGCTGCTTCTCCATCGGCTGTGCCCCTGGCTTCGGCAGCGTCCCCGCGGCTCAGCGAGGCTGTCGGGCTGGTCCAGCAGGGAAGTGCTTTTAGGCAACAAAGCGGGTGAAGGCAGGGCCCGGAGCCAGGGAGCGAGCCCTAAGGCACATCAGAGCAGGTTCGGAGAGGCCAAGACCTCCAAGAGCCGGAGCCCAGGTCCCTCTCAGCACGCGCATCTCAGTCTATCAGAAACTTCTCACCATCCACGTCTCTCCCCGCAGAGCCCTTGCGCAGGGAGGGGAAAAAATCTGAGCGGAGGAGGCGGGAGAAGTACATGAGGATCATGGCGTCGAGCAGCAGGAGGTTGGCGGTGAGGAAGGCACCCTGGCCCTGCACCTCCACGTAGCGGAGGAAGTACCAGGTGAGGTAAGCCTGGGGTGCCAGGCGGAAGGCGAAGTACATCACCAGGTTGACGTACTTGTTGGCCTCGTAGAGCGCTGGGGAAGGCACGTTGCTCATCTTCAGCAGCATGCGGACGGTGAGGAAGATGTTGCTCACCTCCACCAGCAGCAGCAGCATCGCTGCCACCAGGAAACGGCCCGTGATGATGAGTGAGACGAAGGCAGAGATGGCCTGGGACACACACACACAGAGCACAGGGTCAGGTCTCCTTGCCCTGGGGGAGGCGAGCCTTTCCCCAGTAAGGTTTGGACATATTGGGTACTAATCCCCCTCCCCCTGCCCTCAGCAGCCCCCCAGGCACCTGAGCCAAGGGAAAACCAGTCTGGAGAGCCAGTTCCTCTGGGAAAACCAGTCTGGAGAGCCATTTCCCCCAGGGAGCAGTTACACCTCCCTGTGCTGGGGAGCTAGGCCCAGCCTCCGGCTCTCCCCCTGCCCGGCATGGCAGCCTGTCTGGCTCCTGGTGCTCGGAGCTGCCACGTCCTGCCCTGCTGGGCACTCTCACTTTGTTGATGCGCAGCCAGGGTGAGACAGAGGGAAGGGCTCTGGCTTGTCTTGCTGTATAGCGCAGGAAACCTGTATGGGCTAAGCCCTGGGGTGTGTGGTAGCCCCCCTGTGCTCACTCCTCGCCTTCCCGAGGCTGTACTCACCATGGTGTGGTGCACCAGATACTCCCAAGATGAGCGGGACTGATGGTTGAAGATGATGTCAAGGCTGTCGTGGATGAAGTAGCCTGTGGGATGGAGGAAAGCATTGAGGGGGGGTCTGGCTTGTGCACCATCACCTGCTGTGATAAGGGGGAACAGCAAGGAGGAAGAGGGTGGCGTGATCGTGCTCCAGGTGTCGGAAATACCTCCACCCTGCCGAGTGTGGGGAGACGGCTGGGCCCCGGGGGCTGGCAGCTTGTGGGCTCTACACTCACGATTAAGGCAGGAGGCACGGAGAGCTGCCCGGCCCTTGGGGACTCATCCTGGGCCGGCGTGCTGGGTGAGGCTGAAGAGGGAGTGGGCAGAGCCCAGTGGGGTGGCTGTGGCCATGGCCCTGCCTGGCTCCTTACCCGAGGAG